ATGCTACGGTCGCGATGGATAGATCTTATTATATTAACAAAATGGAAAACGTTTTAAAAGATGTCAACACTTACACTATTGTTAAAAAAAATCCGTGCAAAAAAATAGAGAACGATTTGAATGGTTTGTTGAAGAGATGGCTTAAGGAAGATTATATTTCAAAAAACGAATATTATAAATTACGTTGTAGTGATTCTCTCCTTCCAAAAGCGTATGGATTACCTAAAATCCATAAGGAAAACTATCCGGTTAGAATCATAGTTTCATCGGTTGATACGGCTCTATACTCGCTGGCTTCGTTTTTACAAAACACCTTACGAACTAGCCTACCCAAAGCGAAAAGTCATATTAATAATAGTTTTGATTTGTACAGCATATTGTCTGGTAAAAAGATTGATGAGAATGATAGGATGTTTTCCTTGGATGTGGTGTCTTTGTTTACGAACGTTCCTCTGGATCTTGCGATTGACGGTATTAACGATAGATGGGATCACATTGGAATAAATACTAAAATACCGAAAAACGAATTTTTGGGGGGTATAAAATTCATACTGACTTCTACATATTTTACATTTGATGACATAATTTATAAACAGACGTTTGGGACCCCTATGGGGTCACCGTTATCACCAATTATTGCAGACCTGGTTATGCAAGATCTTGAGGATACAGTTCTCAAAGCGTTGAATTTGGAATGTTTGTTTTATTTTCGTTATGTGGATGACATAATAGTGGCCACCTCTATGACTAATATGACTCAGATTGTGAATAATTTTAACAACTATCATGAAAGACTTAAATTCACGGTCGAACAAGAGGTTAATCATAGCTTGAATTTCTTAGATTTATCACTTAAAATTATTAATAACAAAATATATATAGACTGGTATCAAAAAGAAACCTTCTCAGGAAGGACGTTATCATTTTATTCAAACCACCCATTATGCCACAAAATTGGAATAATATATAACCTTGTAGACAGATGTCTATTGCTATCACATCCACTATTTTTTAATAAAAATTTGGAGTTAATTATTAATATACTCAGAAGCAATGGTTACCCTCTTGATCTGATTTTTAACAAAATTAATCATCGGATAGAACACATCATATCTAAGGGGAGCATTTTAGAGAGACAGGCCAACATAGAAAGAACAAAAAGTATAAGAAATGACTCGGTTAATAAAAAATTCTTTGTCATTCCGTATATAGATAGGGTCTCAGAAATGATTGTTTCCTCGGTGAAAAATAAAAATTGTATGGTAGGGTATAGATGTCTCAACAAACTGGATAATATTATTAAAGCACAGAAAGATAAAACTAAACATCCATGCAATTCGAATGTGGTTTATAAGATCAGTTGCAATAATTGTAATGCATCTTATGTAGGCCAAACAAAGAGGCAATTGCAGACGCGAATAAAAGAACATAAAAATAATATTAGGTTGGACTCAACGAAACATTCAGTAATTTCTGAACACATAATAAATGAACATCATACTTTTAATTGGGACAATGTTAAGATCATGGACAACGAAAATAATTATTATAAAAGACTCATTTCTGAGATGCTACATATCAAGGAACAAAAAAATGGACTAAATTTAAACAAAGATACTGAGTTACTTAGCGAGTCGTATTTTGATATTTTGGATATATTGGCGAACAATAAATAATAATAGGACAAATAGGACATTAACGAGTAAAACATAGATATTAGATCATATATAAACACGCACGCTCTCCGATCAAGTAGAGTTTAAAATGAGCTGTCTTTCTGTATTGTTGTTTGTTAAGTGTCATCCTTAATAACTGTTAATAAGTAGCAAAATTGTCAAGAAGAACGATGATAGGTAAGCATACTACCAATTGTAGGGGATATATATTATAATTTGGACATACGTTGATCGGTAATTTTTTATTAATCGCAGCGCCTACGGTACGGGTTAATTTCTCGCATATTAACGATGAAATCATCCAAGATCTGAACAAAATCAGAGATCATATCGAGGCGAACATTGTTGGACAGGACGGATTGAAACACGCGTTAATTGCTCAAAAACTCTCGATTCTGAATAACTATAATTAAATTTCGATATCATATGAATTGTAAGAATTTATTTTTCAATAATTATACTGAAGAAGACCGCGTGCGGTCGAAACGTTTATAGAATGATTGTAATTTGCGTTAATTTGCGTTAGTTTTAATATAATATAATGACTGTAGTTTATAATTTATACATGTAATAAATGGTAGTTGACTGAACATCTCGAATATTCAGCTCGATAAGTTGGCCTTATATTTATCACTTTGTTTTATTAATATAGTTTTATTTGGATATGTTTTTTATCCGTTTTTTTATCCACGAATATTAAATTTACACATTATTAATTATACGCATGTTATATGCATTTTATACATACACATACATATATTGTTAATTAGATGCATATTATATTAAATATTTTTGCGAAACAGATATTAGAAAATTATTGATCTATGAACAACAAGATATTATAGAAATATAATCGTATGAATAAATTTGGTAATACATTATATATTATCTTAAAGTGATCGATAACCATTGCTTGCGATGACTGAGATTGATGATGTATTTGTTTACTACACATCTATTATTACTTATATTACGATATACTGCAGACATAATTATCGAACAATTACAGTATAGGATAATATATGATGTATTTCTGCAGGTATATCTCCCTCCTTCTCATTTGATTTATTTATTAACTATATTTATTAAAATCTAAATTAATATACAATGCTATTGAGATAGATTACTAAGCTGTAAATTAACAATGTGTTAGTCGATATTGTCAAACATTGTATTATTTATACATACTTAGATATTAATAGCGTGCTAAATTTCAAAACGTATTCGTGACAATGTTATGCACGTATAATGTATTCTAAATATTTAATATAATATTTAATACTATATTTAAATTAATAAAATGTGGCGAATAAACTTCTATTAATAAACTTGTTTGTTCCCGATGAATATTGATAATTAGGGATGATTAATGTCGATATTGCAATATTTAAAACATCATATGCAATTTTTTATAATTAAAATTTATAATATAAGACTTGTTTAAATTTACAACAATTATTTGAATAATGATATTTACTGTTGTATTAAACCATGAAGATAAAATCAAGTGTCAAATCTTTCGCTTAAAGCAGTTTTATAGGAATTTAAATTTTTTTATAAGAAAGATAAAAAAAGAGAAGATAAAAATACTTGTAAAATTTTTTCAAATTCTGGAATTTGGGAAATCCATGATTAGGCTTTTAAATTTGATTGCAACATCAATGAGAAATACATATATAAAAATTCTTTCCTTTGAAAATAATGTTTACTAGAAATAATAAAACTTTGTATTGAAAATACACAGAATATCAAACTATTCTTCAATTCATATTTATATCTTGATTAAAGTGACATATCGTTCCAAATTTTTCGACTGTTTAAAAAAAATGTATATGGAATATCATAAGGCTTTTCTCCAATAGAAATGTAAATATAAGAATTAATAAGAGCAGCAATTTAGCATCGACGCTGTGCAAATGATTTTAGCGTGCATAGTGCGAGCAATGAATTGCGATCGACGTGGAATCGTGCTCAACATACTCGGTAATCGCACGTGGATTAACGCGATACGCGGCTTCCGCGGCATGTAAAATGAATAATTAATATATTCAAATGAAACGTACTTAAACTCTATACAGCCACTCATCCGCCGCCGCCCTTCCACCGACCTAATATGTAATTCTCATCCACGACGTGAAGCGAACGTACACACACCCTCGCACGCGCATTACCATCGATCGCGTAAACAGCAGTCTTTGCGACCGAATTCCCGGGCGAAGAGAACGGATAAGGGAAGTAATCTTTTCTGTGAGTCAAATGCGCGCCGAGAGCAAGATCATGATAATACGAGCTTTTTTTCTCCGGAAGCGTTTGCTCGTACACGATGCTTTTTCTCCGGCAAGGCAAACGATTGCGCGGCAAGATAAGGCGAAGATGAAGTAAGACAATACACGATGTAAAATAATGTTTCTTTTTTTCAAACTACATTGTATAAATTATTCAAACATTATCGTGTTTTATGAGAGAGAGAGAGAGAGAGAGAGAAATAGAGAAAGATTTTTGGAATTTTGAATCGACTTTCTTTTAAACAAAAATTTGGAAATCTTAACAATCTTTGTGTTATAAATATTTGAAATTGACTATACGAAAATTTAATTTTAAATAAACATTAAAATAGTATAGAAAAGAAAAATAAAAAATTGTCTTGTGTTAAATTCTTATAAAAAAGTTGGCTATAAATTTAATGAAAAATTTGCCATTAAAATGAATAATAAATGAGACTGAATATTCTTAAATATCCAATAAAGTCGTGCGTAATTACACGTTTGTGTAATTCTAGGAAAAGCGAACTCTGTAATGCTTTTTTATCTGTCTTATAGTTTATAACAATTCTTTTGTAATTTTTCTAATTAATTAGCAAATGCAAATGCAAATGCAAAATAGGAAATTCCGCGATTATATATTCAGAATGTCTCCGTAATTTCTTTTTATTTATGTTATTGATTTGTTCTGGTATTAGACTTAAATTAATTAACAAATCCTTATAAAAATACGGACATCCAGTATATATTTCGAAGAAAATTATTTCATTGTTATCTCTACCACAATACACAAATGACACAATTACTCTCTTTCGCTTTATATATATATATATATATATATATATATATATATATAAATCTATTTGTTTTTCTCAATATATCTAGAACACAATATGCGTTTATTAAATATATAACTATAAAACAACAATTGTTAAAAAAATATTAACAATAAAATCAATTATATAATGTACATTATTTCTGTATGATAAAAAAATGTATTTTTTATTTTCTCAATGTTTCATTATAATAAAACGTGCAAACGTCGTATCTTTTTCTTTTCCAGATTATTTCATCCAGTGTCTGGATTTTTATTCCGGATGCATTTGCACGTCTCGACGGATGCAGACAGGCAGGTGCCACAGATGCAACAATGCAGTTCAGTGCAATGATGCGGCGGATTGTATGCTCATCATCGAGATTACACATCATCACCTCGATCAGTGGTGAATCGGTGCGCATCGCACGATCCGATCTCGATGTGATCGATGTAGTATCGTACGGTACCTCGTGTCGCAAAGATTTACAGTGTTACACACATCTCCGCAAATATGTAGCCTCAAGGAGCTCGAACATCGGAAGCTGATACTATAACGATTCCGACAGGAATCCAAGTAGTGTATAAAAATCATAGCAGGAACCCTCAACAATCTCGAGAAGATGGTGAATGGAAGATTCTTCATCGAGGTAAAATTTTATTAAAAGTGGGCCACTGTACAGTTTGTTAAGTTATTTTCATTGAGATAAGTTGTGAGAAAAATCGAAGACTTGGACACTTTTTGCTCATCGCTGTCTAATAGTGAGGAAAATCCGTGTGTCGATAAGACAAGACGGGGTGCTGTGATGGCGAAGCCAATGACAGGTTGCAATATATATAGTATCCTTCAGAATTTTATTTACGAAGAAATGCCCTTCTCTTAACGCGAAGTCTTATTTTCTCAAAAGCTTGATATAATAGCGAGATGAACTTATTTAAAATATTCCTCATAAACACGAAATAAATACACACAGATATTATTATTAAAAATGTAATAATAATGATTCATGGTGTATTGCAAGTTCGATTAATACAAAATATAAAATATTTGTGAAATACTTTTAACAATTTTATGTATGATAAATGTTCGAGTAAATTATTAAAATATTTCCACTATTCACCAAAGTATCTGAAAATGTACTGTGCCTTTTAATTGATGAACTCTAATTGCTTCGGTTTATCACAATTAATTTGAGATATTTTATAAATCTAATCTGTATTGTTTCGATAAAATATTTTCACTATATATAATATTAATTTTTATTGTAAACGTTATTTCTCTCAGAAAACAAAAGCCATAATCAACATCGTTAAATAGTAAACTGATACTGAATATTAATAAATATCACAGAAAATTCAGCATGCTTCGCCATTGCAAAAGGAATTATATGTTTAACGCAATATAAAATATGATGTAGAAAATAATTAACTGCAAACAATAAATCATTATTAATCAAATTAAATCTCTCAATTTGCTTAAAACGATGAGAATCAGTCTGCTTTTTAAATTTTAAAAACAAAAAAAGAAAATCTTTAAATATATATTCTGATATACATGGAAATTTAAAAAAAGGAAATTTAATAAACAGAGAAATTTTTGTTTATTTTTGTTAATTACTATTTTTATGTGTTTTCAAATTTTATGTAGAGAATGAACTTTTTTCCTTCAATTATTTTCTATATATTAGTCATAATACATGGAATACATGTAGTCATTTTATATCAACAATTTCAAGTAAAATTAAATATGTTTGATTAAAATTTTTTTACACAAAATTAGTCGTTTCCTTTTTAATAGAAGATAAAAATTTTAAACGCGAGGAAAGAAAAATGTCAAAAATCTGCTGATGCTTTCATATTTCAGATGATAACTTTTGAACGGATAGTGATATTCAATTTTCTTGCTAATTTTATTTTTTATTTTGTGATGCTTTTTCATTTTTAATTAAGTTTTCAGTGCGCTTTAACGTTAAAATATTAAAAGTCGTTTTAACTATAAAAGTATGTAATACATACAAAAAGGATTAATTAATTAATGTTTACATGACCTTTGAATTACGATTTGTATGACTGCTTTTTGAAAAAATAAAGACATTTACGTCGCGACTCAAATATCGGAAGTAAACACAGCGACGCAACTATCGGCTTATTCGAGCATAATCATTACGTCGTTAAATAATTGAGAAGGACCTTCAAACGCGTCCTAGTTGCGAAAAGACGTTTCTCTGTACCATCCTTTTCCCTCATTCTCTTTCTTCCTCTCTTACTCTATTTCGTAATTTCATTCCGCGGAACTCCCTTTAGAAGTGCTTCTGCACTCAAAATACTGCTGTGAATTATTTGTGCGCCACTCGCTGCATCACGCCAAAACGAAGCAAAAGAGAGTAGAAAGAAGCATGGAAGAGAAACCAGATGAGTTGCATACATGTGGAAGAACGTAAACGAAACTAACGAACATGCGCGATTTTACGCTCGACCGGATAAACTTGCAGAACCTTGTTATAACTTTCAGGCAATAGGTCAAGTTCGAAAAAAACGATAAAGATGTACTGACATAAATGTAACTGTGCAGGGTGTCCTGAAAGTGTACAGTGGTATCTGAGATTCAATCTTCGTAATTCACGTGAAAAGAGTGCAATAAAAATCTGCGAAGAAATTACGATAAAAAGATAAATCGTTTCATTTAACAAGAAAAGTATAATATACTAAACAAAAATGAATATCTCTTTCAATCTAAAAATAACTAAGTAAATATAAATGGTATTATATAATAAATAATGTAGAATATAATATATTAATTTATAATTTCAGCATATCTATCATATTTAATATTGAGGATACTATATTATAGATAATTGTATTAATTTTACCAGTTTTAATTTTACCAGTTTGATAAATCATTTAGAAAACAAATTTATAATTTTCAATAAAACTTATAATGATTATTAACGATTTTAAAGTAGAAACTTTGAAAAATTAAAAATGTTATGTAACGAATCAAGCAATATTTATTCATTACTTTGACAATTCATGGCCGGTTTACTGCTCGCTAATGATTCGTTTTTGTTTTTAAATCAGATAGCAAATCGGCTGCTGGAAACGCGTTAATTATCATGGTGATGTACGTTTCATTTAAAAAAAGTGCCATACAATCGACATGTGCAGCCAGTTAATAAAAACACACACGAGCAAAATAATCTCGTGACGCAGCTCAATGGCTATCAACACTTTGATAATCTCCAATGCATACAGACTCGCGATTGACGCATAAAATCAGTGCGTTTTTATTCAATGCATATCCTTGCATTTGACGTTAAGTCTATCTATATATTTTTGAATGAGAAATTTATTGCACGCGAACAGAGAGATATTTTCAAATTATTTTTTGGAAACTTAAAAAATGTTAAATTCTCACTTTGAAAAAACTTTTCCAGTTAGCTACATTATGTTAATAAATGATACAGAAATGAAAATTTTTTCGTGGAAAAGTAAAACTAGAAGTAGAGAAATAAATATTTTGTTAATGGAGTCTCTTTGGGAGAAGTGCATGTACTGCGTAACAAGCACAGATTTGTATGGTACTTTTCACAGTATAAAAAGTACTACTCTCTCTCTCTCTCTCTCTCTCTCTCTCTCTCTCTCTCTCTCTCTCTCTCTCTCTCTCTCTCTCGCTTGCAGCGCGTTCAGGACACCATGTACAGAATATGAAAGAGGATGGGTCCAATTTGGATACAGCCGAGGAGGATATTTCTCTTTTTGCGTCGAGGAAATGCCCGTCCTCTTTTCTCTTCTTTTTGTTAGTTATCTTACTGCAATATGCCATATTTCTTTACTATTCAAAGCAGACTATTCAATATTCGCGATACGTATTGACGTAAGTGCCAAGAAGAATTCGTTACTTGTTTGCTAAAAAGCAGCCAAAGACTCGACCTAGTTAACAGAAAGGCGTGCAATTTTTCGCACAAGTGGTCTGGCCTGTAGCCTTTCACGGAATATTTAATTGCATTTGAAATACATTTTTTTTCTACTAGAAAGCGCATTTTGTCATTTTATAAGAGAATACCTTTATCTGAAGGCGATGAAGCCAATAATCGATTTGTTTTTATATAGCGACAAAATGTTCTGAATCGCGATATAAATTAATCTTTGAGAAGACTTCTTTTGGAAATATTTCATCGAAAATTCATGATTTTAAGTCGCTTTTAAATCTTAATGATTTTAATGAAAAGAGCGAACTCGAATCTACTTGTAATTGATTTTTAAAATAATTGATTCTCTCTTCTTAGCTATTGCAAAATTTATACTACAATATTATAAGCTTATTTTCTTATCAATAATAATTGTATAAAAAACAATTTATTTTAATTGATAAGATTTTCTGTACTTTGTATTATTATATAATTATTATAATTAAAAATATTTTGTTTTTCATGAAGAAATATATATATGTTAAATACGTTAGGAGAAATGTAAAAAAATAATCAAATCTTTATAATTTGTTTCTAAGTTTCCCTGATAAAGATTATAAGAATGTGTATATGTGTTATTTCACGATAATTATTTAATCAAGATTGCAAATTCGACAGACAATTTTACGAAAAAAATTAAAATTAAAAACAAATAATATGGAACATTTTTCAAATTGGACCATTCTTCTTATGTGTTATTGCATTACTTATCGAAATTAAATTATTGTACATCGGATTACCAAGAAACTTGTGATGTGTGGAAACGTATCAAACGAATCGCGGCGTACGTTAAGAGAAGTTTTATCTATATATATTCATAATATATTATATATATGTATATACATATACATATACACGCATATAAATATTTAGTATATGTATATACATACATATATATGTATATTAATATAGACTCAATCACGATAAGATATATTTTTATATGTAAATATGGCGTTTTTCTTCTTGTTATCTTATTAATATTTTGTGGAGATATGGTAGACAGAAAAGTAATAAAAAATCTCAATCGGAGATTTACGAAGTGGCGAAAACATGGCCGTCAAGAGAGTCGTAAGTCGTACATTTTCCCACACGAGAGAAGATTATGAGCAACGTGCGAGGTGAGAACAGAAATGTTTGATGTCCTGCAGTTATATCCTGTGATTATTATTAGGCACGATCGGTACTTCTTCTTTTGTTCATTATTCACTTGTTGATCAGTAGATTAATTAGGCTTGTCTACCACAATAATCAAGAATAAGTATCGTAACAATGTTTCAAATATAACTTTTCAACGATTCTAAGATTATTGGGCGGAGAGAATTTCCGTGGAACTTATTACTGCCACTAGAGAGTATATTTAACAGAAAAAAAGACAAAGGGAGAGAGAGAGAGAGAGAAAGAGAAGGAGGGAGGAATATTAAAGTCTAAATTAAATTGCAATCAATAGTTGCTTGTTATTATATTATATGTTTTATGATGTGAAACTAAATTTCAACAAAATCGAAACTCTTTACACAATTTGCTCGAAATACAAAATAGTTAAAAATATTTCAAAAATTATTGGCCATAAAAAGATTAATAAAAATGTACATTTTAATGAGAATTATTATCGTATCATATTTTAAAGTAAAATTTTTATATATGTTATTTTACTATTTATTATTTTAATAAAAATATAGCAGCATATAAAAAATACAGAAATAATAAAGTTGTGCTTTGCCTGTCTACCAGGCAAAATATTGTAATGCTTAATAATATTTTAAGGCATACAGAGAACAGAAAAATTGTATCATAAAAATTATACCTTAATATTTAATTTTTTAAATTTCTATTTAATTTTCCATTACACAGTACCTATGACGTTTTAAGCAATTCTCTTTCTCTTCAATGCATTTACTAAACAGTTTGGACATTGATATCTCGGAGGAGCGAAACGCTTGAACGCATATGCATCATGTAAATAACTTCATTAATAATAGATGAACCGCTAGCTCGATATAATGCTGATCTTGTCAGATTTCCTAAGATCTAATTATTCGATAGAATTACCTTATAGGGT